GATTACGCAGTGTGGCCGTCCACGCGGCACAGCTCGCAGCTCGGCATCGCAGCACCAAGGGGAAAGTCGAAACCAACGCCAAGACCCTGGTGCCGAGAGAGCCGTCTTCAGATTCATCCAGCGTGCTCCGGAAACGCTCTGCCGGAGCACGCTGGCACGCAAGGAATTCTCAGGCGCATCTCACGCCAAAGCTGGCGGGCACGGATCGTCCTCGTCCGCGCCGCCGAAAAACCACTCTGCTGCCTCGTCCTCTGGGTCGAGAGGCCTTGCCACAGGCTGGGAGGAGTCGCCAGGAAACACCGTGGGAGCACCGTCCTGAGCTCTCGACGAAGCCACAGCCGATGGGGCAGGTCCTCGGGCCCCAGGGTCCCCCGCCACAGTCGCTTTGGCGACCGCTTCAGCACAAACGCGCGCATGCAACGCCTCGAGGACCGATTTAGGAGGGCCCTCGCGGCGTGGGTACTGGTCTCGCCTGATGCGAGCTAAATTCTCGGCTCCTTTCCGTGATCTCCCAAGGCATCTGGCCTCGAGATGTTTGAAATCTTCCGTCGCATACCTACCGCATTCGTGGCAGAACACCATGCAATACTTGGGCCACTCTCCAAGTCTGTGAGTGCTGTGCAGCTCCCTCCCGCCCAGGCCCCTCAAAACACCCTCGCCCACAGCCCTGGGGGCCCTGTTCAGGACGGGGGGGGGTGGGACAGGCGGGGCTGGCGGAGGTACGCACGCAGTGCTGCAGAACTCCAGCAGGCTCGAGGCATGCACTCGCTGGTTGCACACCTCGCATCTCCATTTAGCGCCGTCCTGGGCCATCTGGTGGCCCGTTTCGCGGAGAGCTATCTTCACGCCGCTCTCGCGGGCCCCACGAGGCGCGATATCTTCGCGCTCGGCCCGGGTCGTGTCGCAGTCCAGGGCAAGTTGTAAGGCCTTGGACGCTCGACGTCTGACAAGAGCGGCAACAACATCCCAGCTGTCAGCGTGGGGAGCAGCATGCATGACGAATCCCTCCCAAGCCCGCTCCGCCGCCTCCCCCGCCCCATGGTCGGCCGTGGCATTGCCCACAGCAAGGAAGAGGTCCCTGTCTGTGACCAGACGGCCCGCGTCCTCCTCTTCAGCGTGAGAGGGGACCCATTCCAGAGAGACCTCGCGGCCTTCGGCCGCCGCGCGAATTCTCGCCCAGAGATCCTCGTTGGGCCCCCTGGTGGCCTTGCGCCTTCTCCTGGGCCAGGCTTTTAAAAGACCCTGATGGTCCGTCACGAAATGCACCGATCCCGTAGTCTGCTCAAGGGCCATCGCCAAGGCCAGCGTCTCCGATCGGGGTACAGACTGTCGGCAGCCAGGGAGCGGCGCGGCTATCATCGCCCCCAGGCACCAGCTATCTTCACGCCAGGCCAGGGCAGCGACAGCAGCTCCACACCTACGGCGACGCTGATCGTCCGAGTGCTTCACTCCCGACCCGTCCCCAAACAGCGTCAAAACCCCGTCCCTCCGATAGTCACCCAGCTCACCTACCCCAAAAAACAAGGTTTCCTGAGCCAATCGCTCTTCATCGAACCTGGGGGTGGTGAGGTGGTTCGGCACTAGGCCTCGCAGCCAGACCGAGGGCTCACTATCTACACTGGTCAGCGCCCTCGCCACCAGGTGCTCCGACTTGGCGAACTCACTGCCCTCGCTGAGGATCTCCGTGCACTTCCAGATCCTGTGGGTCAGCGTCTCTGGCTCCAGCCCGCATCTCGGGCAGGTGGCGCTGACGGCATAGCCGCGCTCTCGCTTCCTGGCGCGGCTCCACTGCCCGCCACTTTCACTGCCATCGTGCGACTCCACTCCGCCCACATGCCTCTTCGAGCATATCGGTCGAGCTCGCGCCTCGCATGCAGCATGTCCGCGCCGCTCCCCAAGTTGCCGCCGTCCTCGTGGGCCGCCGCCTGCTTCCACAGCTGGCGCATGATGTCCTCGCGGAGGTCGTGCAGGATAGGCTGCCGATCGATGAAGCTCCCAAAGGCCTCCGAGCTCGACTCCACCAGGTGCCACTCCGTGATCGTGCCGTCCACCTCTGGCCTGCTCCACGTGCCAGCAGCGCGCGGATCCCAGCCCACGTCCATGAGCGTTGCCACGAGCGCGCCGACAGGGCCACGCACGCGCCGCCAGCGCCGGGCTGCGCCGGCGCTCAGGAGCGTGCCGCGGATGGCAGGCCAGACTCTATGGATCTTCGCATGGACCTCAGGCGCCGTCTCCCAGAGCTCCAGCCACGAGTCCACCAACTGGATGCGCAGCTTGACGGCTGGGTCCTCCTCAAGCCCCGCCGCCAGGACCGTGGTGAGGCAGCGTCCGCCAGCTTTGCCTCCAACTGCCGCGCCCGCCTGCTGCCTCAGCTTCCTGACGCTCGACGGCGCCAGGCCCTGGAGCTGGTGGCCGTAGGTGGCCTGTGGAGAAGCCCCCGTGCTCCACAGCCCCCTCGCCTCCTTGGCGAGAGCCGCGCTCCTCCTCATTCTCGTGATGCGGCTAGCGCGCCTGCCGGCCGCCAGCAGCCTCTTGCGTTGCTTCTTGCAGCAGCGCCTCCGCCCAGCTGCCGCGTCGCCGCCCAGGTCAGTGGCGTCCAGCGCCAACTGCAGCGGCAGAGCAGGCGACTCGAGTTCCGCCTGTAGCTCTCGGCCCAGCTGCGTGTCCGACGCCAGCAGCTTGATCTTGTTCGAGATGATCAGGCCTCGCTCCTCGACGAAGCCCTCCACGAACTGGGTCGCCACCTGCTTCATCTCCTGCTTCACCATCTGACGAGATCCCTCGCACCGGGCCGTCGTGTCGTCCACGAATGTCCAGAGGGACGCCTGCGGGGCCACCTGGTGGGCCTTTTCCCGCACCCCGTGGATGAACACCTTGGCCAGGGATACCCCCCTCGCCGACCCCGCCACCACCGAGCGCGTCGGCCAGACCAGCTCGCTGATGCCGTGGCGCTGGTCCTTCAGGATGCGAGGGCCCAAGAAGAGCTCCACCTCCATGACCACGACGATGGCAGGGTACTTCACCTGCACCGCCAGCTCCATGAGCAGCGCCAGGCTGATCGTGTCGTAGAAGGTCTGGAGGTCGAGGAGGAGAGTGGCCGACGCCAGCTGCATCTCCCTGCCCACCTCGTCGAGCAGGGCACGGTACAGCGCAGCCCTGAGCGCAGAGCACCCTTGTAGGGCGCCGTCCCAGAATGCCCCGAGCTGCTCTGTCCAGTTGTCCACGATACCGCCTCGAGCTTTGCTCCATATCTTGGGCATCAGGGCATTCATGCCCAGCAGCCTGTCGCCCCCAGCAGGCTTCGGAACCGATGCCGCCACCACCGCCATGCACTGGCGAGGCCAGACGCCCTGGGCCTCGGCATCGTTCATCAGCTGCCTCAGCTCCTCGCGCGCTTCGTGCGGAAGCCTCTGCACCTCCGTCGAGCTCGGCACGTCCACGCCCATCGCCTTCCTGCCGTTTATGGAGTTCAGCGCCCGGTCGAACTCCTCCGGCTCCACTGGTGGGTAGTCCTCCTCCTTCGCTACCTCCAGGGTCCTTCGCAGCTGCCCCTGGATGTCCTCCAAGCTCACCTTCGGGACTTGCCACAACCCTCTCCATTTGGACGCCCGGTCATTCATGATCGCCGCAGGGTCCGCCGTGGTGGAGGTGCCCGTGCAGATCTCGTTGATGATGGTCGGCTCGTCTTTCACGTGCTTGTGCAGCACCCCCATCTTGTCGCTCCACATCTTCTTCACCCACTCGGTGTAGGCTCTTCGTGCTTCCCCCATCGCGCGCGCCTGCCCTGCCGCCGCCAGCGCGCCCGTCAGCTCGAGCAACTTCTGTCGGTGCGCCGCCGAGAGGGTCTCGACCTTGACCATCATCTTCTGCCAGACCATGAAGCGCGCGCTGCCGAACAAGTCTGCCATGCCCTGGTCCAGCGTCTCCCTGGCGATCCTCTTGAGCTTGCAGCTCACGCGGCCTCGCTGAGCCTCATCGCGCCTGCCACGCGCGAGCGTCTGGTACCTCTGCATCAGCGTGAGCGCATAGCACATGGCGTCAGACTTGTGGCACTTCATGTGTGTCCTGCCTGGCGTGACCTTCGCTGTCACCCACTTCAGGTCGAAGCCCCTCCCGCACCCCAGGTAGCGCGCCTTCTCCGACTCCTCCACCTCGTGGACGGCCATCAGTGCGAGCTCCAGCTTGCTCACCCAGTTGCCGTACCTATGCGAGAGGTCCTTCTCCCGCTCCTCGCGGCCCTGGTAGGCGACGGAGAGGGGAACGCTGTGGGGCCCTCCTGTCTCGCAATTTGGGCATTCGCATCGTCATCATCATCATCATCATCATCATCATCAGCATCAGCTTCATCATCATCATCATCAGCATCATCGGCGTCATCGTCATCATTACCACCACCGAAGTACTCATCAGCTTCGTCGAGAATTACAAGCATTGGCGAGAGTTTCTAGTGCAGTACTGCGAGATACCATTGAAAGCAGCTGAGAAGATGTTGATTCGGTTGGTCCACTTGGGCAGGCCGTCCAATGACATTCCGTTTCTGTGGAATCTCTCAGTCCAGCTTCACGCGGCCGTGGATATCGTGTTGGAGATGCCTCGTTTTGAATATTTGAGGCGCCGCTTCGCTGATAGGCCAAACCCTCGCGCATCTCGCCTCCACTTTGCGCTGGCTGCCGTGGAGGAGGAGATCATGAGCGACTTCGTTGGCGGCCTGGAAGAACACGTTCCAGTGTGCTACGTGAACGCTCTCATGTTGGACGGAGCCATCCTGCGGCTTCATCAGTCCAGTTTGGGCGCTCTGGCCGAGCATTTGGACGCCGTGGGGTCGAATTACGTTTCGAAGTTGAAGCAGTGCGCGTTCTGCGGTTGTTCTTTGAAGGCGCCAGACAAGACATCCTTGTGCACCATCATGGGCAGCGATACCGCCACGACGGCTTGGACGAGCCGAAAGAGGTGTTGCAGCCGCAATTGTGGCGCATCCTTCCGACCGAATTTTGGCTGGC